AGCCTCACCTGTCCTCCCAGTCAACCTCACCTGTCCTCCCAGTCAACCTCTCAACTTTCATCCCAGGTGTTCCCACTGTGTGTCCCACTCTGGTTCCTTGTCTCCTCCTCACCAGCTGCTCTTCATCCTGAATGATTTCCAGGTGTCTTTGTCCTCTCCATGTCCCTCGTGTCTCCCTGTCCTCTGAGTGTTGTTGTTGTTAGGCCCGAGCAGCGAAGAGCTGTGAAGGCCTATTGTAATCGCTCTGTTCAGGCCCGAGCTGCAGTTTTTTCATCAAATGAATTGGTGTTTTGGGCCTTAACAAATCCCAAAAGTCACCTAGTTTGGCGGACGCATCAGGACTGGTGAAAGATTACGTATTTTAAGGGCGTGGCAAAAATCGCAACAGAAACAGCTCAAGAGCGCCACCTGGAAATGTTCAAAATATCTTCCACATTAACCTTAGTTTGTTGTGGAAACATGAAATTTGGTACGCTTGTCCAATTCCCCAAGATGCACAGAAAACCCTCCGGCACCAACATTGTACGATAAACAGGAAGGCGGCCATTTTGGAATGTCGTCCCAATTTTAACACCTTTTTGGCGGTTTACAGCCTCCGCATTTGAACAAACTCCTCCTAGAGATTTCACTCAGTCGGTTTCAAACTTGGCTGTTTTAGTCAAAAGGCATGGGGGACGCAAAGTTATCTAAACGGTTCATTTTGGAGCATGCTGAAGGGGCGGGGCCATATCTAAAATTTGGACATCTCGCCATGAAAAACGAAACGCTAATATCTCCTACTCGAAAACTGTCTGAGACATCAAACCTTAAGTGATTGATCCACATCTGATCCCCTGCAAGAACAAAAGGTCAAATCATGACATCACTTAAGAAACGCCCCCTGACAACAGGAAGTATAAAGTTTTACATTGAACAGTCTCTATCTGACCCCTGTCACCTGATCAGCATGATAGTGTGTCCAGTGACTGAAGACATGTTGGTGTAACTTGCTTTCCAACACTGACAGTTTGGGGTGGAGCATGTGGGCGTCGCGACGTGGCGAAATAGGACGTAATGCTGTCGCCATACGTTTGGCTCTAAATTCCACAGATTTGAACCGAGGCACACCGATCAATATCCACCCCTTGAACAGGAAGCCATGATAAGTGCCCAATAGCCTCCACAGCGCCCCCTAGAATATTTGAAAACCTCAGCCCCAAGCCATTTTTTGACAGATAATTCTGAAAATAGGTGAACATCTGTATCATCTCAGGACCTATGAAAAAGTCTCTTGGAGCCCAGGTCCAAAACCAACAGGAAGTCGGCCATTTTGGGTCAAAGGGTCATTTTTGGGCATTTCTGATGGCAAATTTTAACAAACTCCTCCTAGGGATTTTGAGTGATTGCCTTCAAACTTGGTTAATATGCCCATAACACATTGGGGAGTAAAAGTTATCAAAAGCTTTCAGTTTCGTTTATGATAAAGGGGCGTGGCCAGGCCTCAAAGTTACTCTTCACGCCATAAATTTCAAAAGGCTTTAACTTTCACATTGAAAGACCGAAATGCACCAAACTTGGCATGACTCATCCCTGTTGGATGTCCGATGATCCACTGTTGTCATATTTTGACTTAATCAAAGCCCCGCCCCTTGGAACAGGAAGTCGCTTTTTTACTTGGAATGCTCCTTCTTTGACACCATTGACCTAATCATGATGATCCTGCGTTAGAAAACAGATACGATGGTCTGACTTGATTTAAAGTGCAAACCATTTTTGCTGGAGGATGTGGGCGTGGCAGCGTGGCAAATCAAGAAGTGACGCCGTTGCAATACGTTTGGCTCTAAAATACACAGATTTCAGCCGAGGTGCACCAAAATCACTATGATCAGTCATTATCCACCCCTTGAACATGATAAGTGGCCAATAGCCTCCACAGCACCACCTACATTATTCCTACAGTTATAGCTCAGTGATACAACATCCGATCTGCACCAGATTTATTGTGCGTGATAAGTGAACACTTCTAGACACATTGATATTGCTGTTTAACATATGACTCAAGTGCACCCCCTCTCCTACTGATATGGGCGGAATGCGATTGCAAAGTTTAGGCATATGCGCACCCTGGTGGATGCGTGCGGGAATGGCAAGAGAGTGTTCGCGAAGGCGACTGGGAGTTGTTGCTGGAGGGCCCGCAGTTGTGGGTGATGTCGAAGGTTCAGTGAATGCGCACCCCGGTGAACGAGCATGGGACGGGAGCGAGAGCGATAGCGACCGGGCGGAGTTGTTGGAGCTCCCGCGGTAGCTGTAAGGCCGGAACGGCGCTTTGCTGCGAGGGCCTTCAATGCTGCTTGCAGCTTTAATTTTGTTTTGAATTTGATCAACAGACGACGCCATCTCCTCTGTGGTCCACACTGCTCTCACCCACCTGGAGCAGAAAGACTCCTATGTCCATATGCTCTTTGTGGACTTCACATCTGCCTTCAACACCATGATCCCCCAGACCCTGATGGACAAACTTCTCACACTAGGACTAAGCCTCTCCATTTGCAACTGGGTCCTAGACTTGTTGACAAACAGACCACAGTCAGTGAGGATCCACAACTTATTCTCCTCCAACATAACCCTCAGCACTGGCAACCCTCAGCACTGGCACCCCTCAGGGCTGTGTGTTGAGCCCTCTCCTGTTCACCCTGCTCACGTATGATTGTGCAGCTACCCATCCAGGCTGTCACATTGTAAAGTTTGCAGATGATACAGCGATGGTGGGATGCATCACAAACAATGATGAGTCCAGCTACAGGCAGGAGGTGGAACACCTGGAGAGCTGGTGCAGAGAGAATAACCTTCACATCAATGTGAAGAAGATGAAGGAGATGGTCATGGATTTCAGAAGGAACAAACACACCTACACCCCACTGAACATAAGAGGATCTGCAGTGGAAGTGGTCTCCAGCTACAAGTACTTGGGTGTGCACCTGAACAACAACCTCAGCTGGAGCAACAACACCACCAGCCTGATGAAGAAAGCTCATCAGAGACTCTACTTCCTCAGGCGGCTGAGACGAGCTGGTCTGGAAGCTCAGTCCTCACCTCCTTCTACAGGTGTGCAGTGGAGAGCATCCTGTGCTCCAGCATCAACGTGTGGCATGGAGGCTGCACAGCTGCAGAAAGAAAAGCTTTGCAGAGAGTGGTGAAGGCTGCACAGAAGATGTTGGAGTCAGTCTCCCCACCATCACAGACATCTACACCTCCAGATGCAGGAAGAGGGCCACCTGCATCATGAAGGACCACACTCACCCAGCACACACACTTTTTGCCCCGCTCCCCTCAGGAAGGAGGTTGAGGAGCATTAAGTGTAGAACCACTAGACTGAGGAACAGCTTCTACCCTGAGGCTGTTAGACTCATGAATCTCTAACTAGAATAACCACTGTGAAAAAAATCACTGTAATCCACTTTAACTAGTGAGATGTGCTGCTGATTATCCATGCTGCTGATTTTTTCATGCTGCTTTATCCATTCGTACTCCTCTGCTCACAAGTTTCTTTTTACACTTTATATTTTTGCTGTTGTTGGGTTCACTGGGACCCTGTGCACACAATTTTGTTCCACCTCATGCACCACATGTGATGGAACGACAAATAAAAAACCTTGAACTAGAGTTTATAATCAGTAAAATATTTTCAAGTAGACAGATGTGATGTGGTGCACTGCTGCCCTCCTGTGGTAGGGCAGTGTATTACACAAACAAGCGTGGCTGTAAAACAACAAAATAAAACGATGAAGTAAAGATACATTCTAGAAAATAATTCAAACATTACTCCTGCAAAACTTTTTGTTCATTAATGGAGTTTTTATTTTTTGTAATAAAACAATTTAGATCAGGGAGAAGAAATGATTTAAACTCATCTCGTCGGGGTTGGTTTCATCAGGCGTCTAATAAATACTTTTTAAATGGTCTGTGTTTTTTTAATTAGTTGATTTATTGAAGTAATTTAGAAAAACTGGTGAAAGTTTTATTTTTATCTGTCAGGGCTGGTGATCAGCAGCTGTTTTCATGTTACATCAGTTAAAGTTTCTACAGGTGCTGGGGATAGAAACAGATCTTTGTTGTGATTTGATCTTAAGTGCTACAGTGTCATGTTACAGCAGGTGATGATTTAAACAAAGATGCACGTCTGGATTAAAGGGTTGAACTGAATCTTCTGATTCTCTGCTCAGGTAAAGATGAAAACTTCCACTTTGTCTTTAAGTAGCTTGAGGAAACATCTGAACTCCTTCATGTCTGCTCTTCTTCTGGAGGCTGTTGCCAACATGGTGGCTCAGTGGGTAGAGCTACCGCCTGTCAACGAGAGGGTTGCCAGATCAAATCCCAGCCAGGGACCATTATTTGTGGAGTTTGTATGTTCTCTCCGTGCATGCGTGAGTTTTCTCCAGGTGCTCCAGTTTCCTCCCACAGACCAAAAACATGCATGTTAGGCTGACTGGTAACTCTGAATTGTCCCTAGGTGTGTCTGTGATGGACTGGAGATCTGTCCAGGTGTCTCTGTGATGGACT